GATTTGGCGTCAGCTGTCTTCATAATTTTTCTGTGTCTTTTAGAAGCGTGGAGACCGATTTACTAAAGGTGCAACAAATCTTCAGTCAATAAATTGAGTTAAGATTCACCTAAATAAACCAATCATGTGAAAAGCTAATTCCTGTTTATTTATTTTTTGTTAATCCGCACATGACTGAGTGTCCCAAGAAAACACAGCTACAATTTATTTGGTAAAAATTCTCAACTCTTTTAGTAAATTGACCCGAATACGATAGACATTATATAATGTACTCTCTGAATGTGCTAAAAGTTCTCTTCTTAACGGGGTACTTGCTTATGATTTTAGGATTTTAACCTCGACAGAAATGTTCCCGCCTGCTATAGCTTTGAGGCTGTCGTATTAATTACAGAGCAGTAGCTGAAATATTTATCACGACGATCATCATAGAACTCCAATTCCCCCACCCAAAAAATGTCCCATTGCTAGACGTCTCACAAACAGTTACAGAATATTACCGAAGTTAATGACTTCAGTCATTAGCCTAATTCCCGTAAAAAAAAAGACCATAATAATGTCCTGCTAATCATCAGATAAATCAAGGGCACTCCAGAGTTTACTATAATACCTAATTGAATAAACTCCAAGACATAAATGAAAACACAGAACATGCATTACTTTAAAAAATGACCCTGTCCCTACTTATAACTTCCCCAAAAATAAATATGTAATGGCACATTAATGGTGGTCTACTCCAGCCATAATAGGATAATTAATGCAAAGATTAAGCCTGTTTTAAAAAGTCCGGGGGTGGGGGTCAATAGAGTGCTGTGTGCTTTGGATGCGTAAATCACTCAGTGGCAGCTAAAAATGTAAGTAACTGCAAACAGGATTAGGGTCACGTTTATATTGGTTGCGTTATGAGACACAAGGTACGGGGCAAAAAAAAAATGCATTTCTGACTTATTAACCAGAATTTCATTTTTTTCCCCCCGAATTTAAGTATTTCATTTTAAGTTAAAAAATCACGTTTTATAAACAAAAACAAAAAAACGATTTATGAAAATATGTGGGTATATATTTACATATTAAAGAAATGATTCCCTGATAGAAATACATAGAAAACTATAAAAACATAATTAAAAAATTAAAAAAGAAAGAAAGAAAATGATAATAAAAATTAAATTAAAAAATTAAAACATAATAAAAAATGTAATAAAAAATAAAAACTTAATGAAAAGATATATCGCAGAAATGTACCTTCTTCGCGTGTTAGTTTTATACGTTTCTTCCAGTGTTGCATGTAAAAACTGAATATTTTTGACAAAAAAAAAAATGTGAGTTACGGAAAACGCTGCACCAGCTTTACAGTGACGGGTAAACCAACTTACTTGTTCATTATTTATATTGTTAATTAGTATCCCATTTGTGGTATCAGTCGGCGCCTAATGAACTACAGAATGTATGGACCCCACACCTGTTGAGGCATGGGTAGAGCCTTAGGGTACTACAATGAAAATTCTAATGAATGCAATAGCAAATAAAACAGGTTCTACTCCTGGTGCAAACTAACGTTTCATTTCATCTTTCCAAATGTGTTATTGTCAAATTTTCAAACATTCAGGACGCGCCCAGCGCTTTCAGTTTGCATCCCTTCTTCTTCGCTGGTTCATAAGCCTGTTGTGCCGGGTTATTATGGCAGGCAATGTTCCAATCACTCATCACATAGATATACACGGTATTGATGTATGTAATCATATTAGATTTTTTTTTTTTATTTAAACATTAAAATTGTCTTTCTGACTTGTTTTTATAAGTGGCATTATCAGCCAAAATTTGACCAACAAGCCTTACCTAACAGGCAGAAGTACTTCTCCTCCCATGAAGAAGTATTCCTGAAGGATAGATAGATATATAGATAGATAGATAGATAGACAGACAGACAGACAGACAGACAGACAGATAGATAGATAGACAGACAGACAGACAGACAGACAGACAGACAGACAGACAGACAGACAGACAGATAGATAGATAGATAGATAGATAGATAGATAGATAGAAGAAGATGATAAATAAATACATTCATAGAAGAAGAAGAATTCTAGTGTTTAGATAGCTGGAAAGAAAGAAAGAAAGAAAGAAAGAAAGAAAGAAAGAAAGAAAGAAAGATGATAAATAGATACATCCATAGAAGAAGAATCCTAGCGTCTAGATAGATAGATAGATAGATAGATAGATAGATAGATAGATAGATAGATAGATAGATAGATAGATAGATATTGGATAGTTGAAGGGACACTGAGGGGGATAAAGAATGGATAGATGACTGGAGGATGAACGGATGGAAATAGAGGACCGACAGAGATAGATAGATAGATAGATAGATAGATAGATAGATAGATAGATAGATAGATAGATAGATAGATAGATAGATAGACTGGACAGTATATTGGAGAAGGAGTATTGGCATTCTAGACCAATAAACTGTTGCTACATTGTTGCTATGAGTGCTGCAATTTTGGACCTCTGCAAGGTTCTAGGATTTTGGGATGCCAGTCCCCATCCACCGTCACCTTTCTCTTACCTGAGCTGTCACTTTTCCTTTTAGCCGTCCTCTTGTCCATGTCGGAAGGCGAGAGTGTCTGCCTGCCATAGTCCCCACTTGCACAAGCCGAACCAGAAGAGCTGTTACTGCCCAAGTTAGAGGCGTTCGAACACAAAATAGAGGGGCTGCTTCCTAGTTCTGGGGGCCCCGACTCCTGCTGAAGGCAGAGGCTGTGCCTGGACGAGGCCAGAGGAGAAGACATCTGGGGAATGTGCCAGTTGGACTGCAAGCTCTGGTGCTGCTGTTGCTGGTGGTGGTGATGGTGGTGGTGGTGGTGGTGGCCTCGGTGATGCTGGCTACCGAACATGCCCTCCTCGTTGGGGTAGCCGGCGATGATGCAAGACGAGGAAGACGTGGAGAGGTCGGGGTAGGACATGTGGTCGGATCTTCCATGCAGGGCCAGGGACGACTGGGAAAAGGGGTGCAAGCCTTGCGAGGCGGCGTGCGGGCTGCGAAGGCAGCCGAACAACGTGTGTTCCATGGCATGCGAAGTTTCAAAACGTTGCGAGGCGGAAGGTCAGCAAAAGGGATTAGAATCCACACGGCTGTCACTTTTTCGCTGTAAAATGGTATATGTGGTTTTTTTTGTTGTTACCCCTCCCGCCCCAAACAGTAACAGCAGCAGCGCTGCAGATAATCCAGGTCTTCAGCTCAGTGGTGGCCGGTCTCCTAGGCTTAAACCCTCTACACTGACCCAGATGAGCTGCTCTCTGTGAGCTACTCAGATGTCAAGAGTAGGAGAGGTTAAAGGCAGCAGAAGGTGGTCCCATGAAGCTGCTTTAAGGGGGAAACAGCTCGCAGAGGATATAAATAGTGTGTAATGTGAGCCGGGGGGCTGGCTTAGCAACACAGCACTGACCACAAGCTCTCTCCAAAACTTTAAGACGGCTCTGTGTACAATGCTGCAACATCACCAGCACCGCTCCCAGCTCTCCAAAAAGACCAAGCTCTGGATACACAGCAACGGCCAGCTTACCTGTCACTACTTCCAACAGGACAAACCAAAGTCATCGGAGACAGGGCTGGGGGCTGTCGTGGGATCTGATGCAGAGCGCCTGAGCTGTCATGGATGAAGCCTTCTTCTGCTTTTTTAAACATTGTATCTAAAATATTATAAAAGTAATTTCCAAGAAATCCTCCCCGCCCCCCCCACACACACACACACATGACATTCCTACACTGTTACAGTTCTTCACACAATGACTGGGTGTCAGTGCCTGGGTGTCAGTGCCTGGGTGTCAGCGCCTGGGTGTCAGTATTTGGGTGTCAGTGCCTGGGTGCCAGTGCCTGGGTGTCAGTGCCTGGGTGTCAGTGCCTGGGTGTCAGTGCCTGGGTGTCAGTGCCTGGGTGTCATACTTTAAATGAAAAGCATCAATGTTTTAATTTTTAAGATTCTTGTATCTTGTATTCTTTGTTGTCTTTTTTTGCCTTTTCCAAAACTTTTTCCAAAACTTCCTAAACACAGACCGGGCTTATGCACAGGAAGAGATAAACAGGGAAGGTTCACAAGGTTATCATGCAGACGTCGCTGTGACAAGTGTTTTTTTCTTTTCTCTTATAGAAATTTTAACAATAGATTAAGAAGCGATCTTGGCGGCAAATAATAATAATAATTATATTAATAACAATAATTATTATTATACAGGATTTACATAGCGCCAACAGTTTGCGCAGCGCTTAACAATGTAAGGAAACGCACTCGTCAAGTCCTTACCAGCTTTACAGCAAGGTGCACATGGAAGGGCTTCAAACAGTAAAACATCAAAAAGTTTCCCAGCACACTCGCCAGCCAGCATGCAAAACAAACCTGTCTAACTACTAAGGTTAAAAGCAGAGGTTTAGATATACGTCTTCTGCAGAAAATGTCAAAGCTGCACAGCCACATCAAGGCACCTCTATATAGTGCGGTCCTAACTCTAAGAGAGTCTTGGAGCTATCAGAAGATTAAATTGGGTGCAGGTTCGTCAGGTTTGTGCAGGTTTGTCAGGAGGAAGCCCAACCTCCTATAAAGGCACAGGGACGCACAAGGGACCCCGCACATCACAACGGCAGCTTTAAGGGAGGTTGGGCTTCCTCCTGACAAACCTGCACCCAATTTAATCTTCTGCCCCATGTGCTTCAAGATGGAGAGCTTACAATCTAAAAGGGGAGGGGCAAGTGATACATGAGGCGGTAGCTGTGTGGGGATAAATTGTTTGAGAACGTGATGGTTGAGTGGTTAGGTTGAGGTGGGATAGGCTTCCCTGAAGAGATGAGTCTTAAGGGATCGCCTAAAGGCAGTCAGAGTGGGATAAAGGTTGGGATAAAGAGTTCCAGAGGATGGAAGAGACTCCAGAGATGTCCTGGAGGCAAGCATGGGAGGAGTTGACGAGGGAGCTGGAAAGCAGGAGGTCTTTGGAAGAGTGGATAATATATAATCCCACGGTATAGCTTTTTGATTTGACCCAATTTATGTGTGTCAGCTTTCGGGTGGTGGTCGTGCGGCGGGACTTTTTTTATTTCATCGGGTCGGCGGGGGTCCTGCATCATGATTGACGCTGGATTACATCGATGGAGCCATTTTTTTTTAAATTGAAGGAATAGTCAAAAATGTAGTCTTTGTTTTTCTTTCAATTAAAGGATTTTATCTAAAAGTCTGGACTTTTTACTAACTATTTGATTTAACCCCTTAGTGAATGGGTAGGGGTACAAGTAACAAGATCAAGGGTCTGGTAGCACTGTTAGGGGGTTTTTTCCCCCATTTTTGGGGGATTCCCCCTTAAAATTCCTACCACACCTAAAGGGTCTGGTAGGATTTTGGGGGAACCCCACGCACTTTTTTTTTGTTTTTTAACTTGGGGGAGGGTTCCTCCTAACATTCCTACCAGACCTAAAGGGGGGGAACCTCACGCTTTTTTTTTCATCTTCTGCAGACTGTAAAAAAAAAAAAAATTTCTAATGTCACTTTGCTCCAATAAATGAAATTTCGGCAGGACTACCGCTAACGAATTTCGGGAAAATGGGGATATCGGATTCGTTTGCATTCGTTTTGCTGTAATTCGGAATTCGGATGCATTAGAATCTTCCGAAATTTCGTCCGAATTTCGATTCGGAACGAAACGAATCGCACATGTCTATGGCCAGACAGTGGTGTATCAGCAATGTGTGTGGTGGCCCCCAAGGGGGATGGAGCCCACTGTATACTCATCACACACATTGGGTGAGCCGGGTCTGCCTGTGGTCTCCCATCTTTCCCCCAGTAGTCTCCAGCACAAGGCCCCCCCACCCCTTCTCACCATTGGTTGCTAGGAATCTGCAAACCAAAAGCATCCTGGCAACCAAGGGCACTGTGTGGCCTGCCCAAGGGTAGCACATTCCAGAGCCTGCCTCAGCAAGCGTAAGGAGAAGATTAAGGTATTCCAATCTCAGGCCAATTGGGAGGATGTAATTTTACTGGTATGACATGCTGCTGATATAAAGAGGTGGCTCTGATGTGAGCAAGGGGAACCTGTTATAAAGGGGGACTGCTGATATGAACAGGGGTTTCTTGATGTAAAGGAGGGACTCTGATTTCAAGGGGGGACTCCTAATGTGAAGGGGGAACTTCTGATATGAACTAGGGGCTCCTCATGTAATGGGGCGAGGGCGGGGCTCTGATGTAAGGACAGGCTCTAGCAGTGATGATGTCTGTACAATGTCTTATTCCACATTACCCCCACAATTACTCAATCACATACCCAAACTCTCTTAGTCATAACCCGTTAATTTCTATTACTTTTTCACCCTCTGTCAACCTGAATAGGTGGTGTTCCTGTATGCCTTCATTATAGTGCTAAGTGATAATCCAGATCTGTACTTACTCAAAATGCTGCCTGGATAGGTACAATTCTATGGTTGAAGCTTGGATAGAGAGGTGCTGATCGAATGTATCTATCTATACATGAACAGTTACATCTGATCAGTGCCTCTAAGCAGACCCTGGACAAAAATACTTAGTCCAGGGTAACCGGATCAGGGCGCATACACACTGGATGCTGCAAAGTGTCTGTATGTACAGATCTGGATGCAGGAAAGGGAAAGGGGGCACAACTTATGATCTTGTACACAGCCCAGAGATGATTAGACTTAATAGACCTTTGAGCTGAGTGTTATTTACATGTTATACGTGACTCTTTCCATTGTATCATGGTAATAAATGCAGAAGAGATTTCAACAGTACCGATGTGTTCCATATTTTGCATTTTTTTCTTATTTTTCTAATAGAGATTTGCACTTGTTCCTCATCTCCAGTTAGAAGGCTACCTTCATTTTCTGAATAGATTGACAATGGGTTTTTTTTCCACCAAAGGCTTCCCCTCTTCCCTCTACACCAGCACTGCAATCATTTCTTGTAGACACTGAATTGCAACTCCTAAACCCTAAGCCTAGAACCAACCACCAATCCTAAGTTTTAATTTAACTCTAAACCCTATCCCTTAATCTAACTCCCAAACCTTAACACTTAACACAAGATCTAGAGCCTAACCTTGAAGCTAACCCCTAACCTACAACCTAACCCTTACCCTCACTTCTTAACCCTAAACCTAACCCTTAACTTATGTCCTAAAGCCTAACCCTAACTTTCAAGGTAACCTCAACCTAATTCCTAAACCAGTGGTAGCAAACCTATGGCACGTGTGCCAGAGCAGGCACGTGAGCCCAGGTCTGCTGCTCTGCTGAACTGATGGGCAAGCAGACGCAGTAACGATATTCAGAGAGCTTGATGCCGCGCAGGCACATTGAGGGCAGTTGCAGACCACCTGAGAGCCGCACAGCCCCCAAGAGCCCATACAGACCACATCAGAGCCCCTAGAGACAACTTAAGAGCCCTTATAGACCACCTGAGAGCCCATACAGAGCACCTGAGAGCTGCACAGCTGCCCTGAGAGCCCATACACGCCACCTGAGAGCCCTTAATACCACCTCAGAGCCGCACAGCTCCCCTGAGAACCTGTACAGACCACCTGAGAGACCACACAGCCCACCTAACAGCACTTATAGATCACCTGAGAGCTGCACAGACCCCCAAGAGCCAATACAGCCCACCTAAGAGCCCTTATAGACCACCTAAGAGCTGACAGCCCCCCTGGGAGTCCATACAGACCACCTCAGAGCCTGCCGAGCTCACCTGAGAGCCCTTATAGCTCAAACAGTGCCCCTGAGAGCTGCACAGCCCCCCCTGAGAGCCCGTACAGACCACCTGAGTGCATGTAGTGGTTGCAATTGCAGGGTTGGCACCTTGAGATACATAAGTTGGTTTAGTGATCCAGTTTCGGCACTCGGGCTCAAAATGGTTCGCCATCATTGTCCTTAAACCTAACCCTTAACCAACTTGCTAAACCCTAATCTTATAACTAACCTAACTTGTAGCCTAACCTCAATTCCTAATCCAGCTTCTAAACACTAACCCTGAAACTAACTTCTAAATCTAACCTGCATCCTTACCCTAAACCCTAAGCCTCTATCTAAATCCTAAACCCTAATCACTAAGCCTAAAATAATCCTGAATAAACCCTGGGTCTAACTCATG